ACATTAATTCATAAATGCTTTATCTACTGGTAAGAACAAAATTTTTATTCAATGTCAACATTAAACATACCTGAAGCAATTATTTTTCTTTTTTTAATCATTCAAACCTTGCAACTTTTTGATGATTTTGCTTCTTGTTACATATCATACTTGATAGAAATAATGTAGGAGCCCAGTCAGGGTTATTCTGCTCTGATGAAGGAGCGCCTGTAAAGAGAGTAAAATCAGATGTCTACGTTTACCAAAAGCCAAGGGACAATATGCTGAGACACTTCGTGCATGTTAAGATCTTCCATTAAAATATGCTGGCAACTAGCTTTTGATAAGTGAGTAGCTGCTGCAATTTTTTCAAGGGTTTGGCGACGATCTTTGAGAACACATTGCGAGACCAACTCAACATTTTCCTCATTCTGTGAAGTCGAAGGTCGGCCAGAGCATTCATCATCTGCTATGGATTCTTGGCCCTCTTTAAAACGCCGATGCCATTTGTACACCTTCGATTTCACCGTGATAGAATCACCATACACCTTTCTTAGCAATTTTAAAGTCTCTATAGGTGTTTTATCGAAATGCTGACAAAATTTAATGTTGCAGCGCTGTTCTTGAAACTCCATTTTTACTACATTACAGAACAAAGGTAACTATCTCCGGAAGAAAACAGCAGCGCTTGAGGTTTAATCACGTGACATGGGTGAAACCAACCTGAACATGTAGGGGTGGTTTGGTAGAATCCATTTCATACTCTGTAACTTCAAATACATGCTTTTGTTGTCATAGATTACTGCAGTACCCAAACTTTTGGATCATATCACATCTTTCAATTTCTCCTAAGCTGGGCTATATCACTGAGTGTGGCCCTCAGCCTGATCTGCTTCATTGTTCTACTTTCTCTCTCTCAATGGCAAGAGAGTGTCCATCTGCAAGGTCTTTTTAAATATCATTGGCATTTCAAAACATACTGTATATTCTGCAAACAACAAATAATATAGATTCTGCAGCAACCATTACAATTCCAAACCAGCATAGGAGAAAAGCTGTCATTAAGGTAAAGGAGAAAGATAAATAAAAAAAATCATAATGTATATTGAATGCTTTCCCACTATGGAAACTCATTACATAACAAAGGACAACATAAGGAAATATTTAAGCATGACATAAATATTAGTAAAATATATCAGCTTTTTAAAGATGAGTGCCAAAAAGTATGGGGGATAAAGTACAGATGGAAAATCTTTACATTTTAACACAATATAACTCAAGATTTTGCAGGGCCAAAGAAAGGTCCAATAAAAACCTGATGATGATCTTTAAATATGATTGAAAATATTAGTTCACTTATTAAATTTGTTTTTTGTTACTTGATTAAGGTTACGGTATATTTTGAGTTAAAATTTCTGTTTAAAGGACATACTGATATGGAAACTGAGAGCATGCATATAGCTAGTGAAACTGCAAAACAAAATGTGTGTTCACTTTTCAGGAAATGGGTTCAGATCTGAGAGAGAACATTACATTAAAAAAAAAGGAAGCCATATATTGTGAAAATAATGTCTAACACAGTCATCTAAGACTATGTAAAATTGTCTGACAACATTATAAAAAAACTGATATGCAGCTGAAAATGCTGAAACAGTTTTATGGCCTAACTTTATTTGGCTTCAAGTTTTCAAGTTGGAATCACATGTCTTGCTGATAAAAATAAACTTTTCTCAGACAGACTTCATCAGATTTCCATTAAGGAGAAATAACAGCTCTGTTATCTCTGAGCTCATTAATGAACACTTAGGACAAAAGTGCAACAATTCTGTTTGACTATTTTATTATATTATTGTCTACTAAGGACTTATCATATTATTAGGACTTATTATGCTGGTGTTCCAATTTTTCAAAAGGATTTTTCTGAATAAGAATTCCTCCTTTTGAAAAATTGGAAAACCAGCATAGTAAGTCCTAATAATATGATAAGTCCTTAGTAGTCAATAATATAATAAAATAGTATAAAATAAGAACAAAAAAGCAATTGAATTAAGCTTGTTCCAATTTCTAAAGTAATACAAGGATTTGATGGAGCTTGTGAATGAAAAAAATAATAAATCTTCATTATCATGCTTTCTCTGAAAATTTTGCATGTAGGGAAAATGTAACTAATAAGTAACCAGAAACCAATGAAAATGACTAACTTACCAGAATGAAGTCTGTTATTAGTTAATGACTGTCATTATAAACAAGCCAACTTTTCAGTTTTGTAAAAAGAAACATTATAATAAAATTGTTCATGAATGTGCTAATGAGCTATAACTCTTGACTGAATAAAAAAATTTTTTTAAGGCACACATTAGTTATGTGGATTTACTAGTGATGTAACGAATATTTAATCACTATTCGGCTGAATACCTAAAAACAGGTGTATGAAATAACAAAAACACAGTAAATTAATCATTTTGGTATTTAGATTTAATGTTATCAAGTTAGTGTTCTTTGTTTACATTTATTTATAACTTATAACATGCACAAAATAAAAAAGAAAATAATATTAGTCACATGTATTCACAATTTATAATTACAAAGATCAGCACACGTACACACCTATTCGTTCGAGAATCGTCGCACATCTGAGAGTCTGACCCTACCTATCCCTCTTTTTAAGCGCTCGTCTTCGCTCTTCCCTTTCTCTTTCCTCTATCGCTCTAGTCTACGTATGCCTATGCATACATCATAATACGCCCTCACGATACTTTCGATTCGTCACTTTTCCATTGTAGATTTCCCATTTTACAATTACGTGACTCATAGCCTGGTGATAACAGAAAAAAGAGACAGATAGGACTTCAGTACAAGTTGCAGTTATGATTTCACAGATTTGAAACAGCTCGGTATCCCGAACGACCCCAGGCTTTCGCCCGTGCACGCTAAGTGACTTTCATTACAAGCATTTAGCTTTCTGAAGTCTATGACAACAATTGTTTGGCATTGATGGCCGCGAATTTCGCGCCAATAAGCTGCCTCGACTTGTTTGAGGCAACTTATTGAGTTGATAACATAATCGACTCGTTCGATTATGTTATCAACTCAATTTATATTTATTTTCACATTTTCACTTCACAGTCCTTCTCTGTTCTTCTTTCGTTATTTACACGTGTAGGTCATTTCATTGTTATCCACATTTGATACCACCACTTATCACATACTGCCATGACGCTCTTGTCTGAACTGTCAAGAATTAACGCGATTGGTGAAGCGTAGTGACAGTGGGCCAATAGAGAGTGGGATCCTTGCCATAATGCAGTTTGGGCGCCAATTTCATACGTGCATTAATTGAGCCGAATATTTGGCTATTCGGCCACGCTTCTGGCTGAATATTCGGTATTCGGCCAGAAGTGTGGCCGAATATACTATTCATTGCAACACTAGGATTTACCTATATTCTTTAGTAAAATTTTGGCTTTTAACTTACTAGTTTAATCAAGCTTTTAGATTTAAACTTGCTTGCAAAATATTATTTAACTTATATCATTAACTAACTTGTAAATCCAGTAATGGCAATCTCAGTTACTAGACATATCATTTAATACTAGGACATTGTGCAACTTTATTGTATTGCAGAAGAATCATAATAGAATTGAGGTAGAGCCAGAAAGAAAAACGCAATCCCTGCATCTGTTAGGCATACAGGAGGCAGTCCTTGTACCTATCAGACGATCCTTGCTCTGGCCTAGTATGGAGAGATGATTCTTGCACTTGCTGACACAGAGAGGTGATCCAAGAACAATGCAATCAATAGTGATTATGTTGTTCTTGTGTTTTGTTTGTTTTTTGTGCCAATTTTCTGTTAAGCACACACACTGCTGTTTTTATTTTTGATCTCTAGGCTTAAATTTTGTTAGGGGCACTCAGTCACATCAGAGAGCATGGATATTGTCACTTTAATAACTCTGTATATTGAAAACAAAATCATGTACTCCTATTTTTTTTACATTTAAATGGACCTTCATTACATTTTTGGATTTCTGATTGCAATTAATTGAAATAGGCAGTCAATTCTAAAAGATGATAAAAGGCATTCTAGTGACTGTGGAACATTGCATGGCAAAATTGCATGATTCATGCAATCTTGCTTTGTTACATGTGCTTATGCTACAACCTTATGTCTCGTGTGAGGTCATGGACCCCCATTTTTTATTACATTTTTGAATTCCTCACTGCAATTAATGGAAAATGGTAGTTTAATCAAAATTGATCAAACAGATTTTGAGAATGAACACAATTCTGTAAGTCACATAGAAGAAGCTTTGCTAATGCTTTTCCTCAATTATTTATTTTTTTCCTGAGAGACAAAAAATTAAGTTATTTTTTTCTCTGGAAGATGGGAGAGCTGCTTTCATTCCCGAGGAAAAATAACAATTTTTAATGTCTTTTTCAGGATAAAACTCTAATAATATAATTTTTTCAGCAAAAGTCTATTATATGATTACACAAAATAGCAAATTTTTAGTAGACAATTAAAGGTTGCTTCAATTTTTAAATTTTGTTTTCTAAAATTCACAATTTTATATTTAGTCACCTATGGTTCTATACCCATGATATATCACTATAGATTATACTTAGGAAATTATGCTAATTTTTTATACTTGCATATAATTAACACCCAACAGCTTGTCATAAGTAATTTAAAAGAAAAAAATTCAAAAATATCATATTTAAAAGTTTAATTGAAAAGATTGTGTAATAATTAGAATTTTAGGTACTTGGATACTGATTTTATCTACATTCTGGATATTACATATTGCAAAATGAGTTGATATGTTGGGATTTGATTTCTGAAAGTAATCAGAGGCAGAGTTGTTAGTATATATTAAAGCAAAGATTTTGCTTTGTACCAAAAATTTTAAACAAATTATATGAACTAAATATAATAAATTTAAAAATACTATTTAAAATTTTGTTATGTAAAATTAGTAACATGTTTTAGAATCTGACATTAATTTGCATTTATTTTGTAGATCATTTACAACACCAACAAGTGTATTTTTTCATGCTAGTAAAACCCACCTCCCAGTTGGAAATGAAGAATCAGAATGTAAATGGGAAAATTGTGACAGCATGAAACGCAAAAGATTATCTCTTCTTACTCATTTACAGGTAATTTAATTTTTCATCTTTAACATTTATAATGTTTAAAAATATTTATCAATAATTTTACAGCAAATAGAGCAGTTTATATCTCAGGGCTTTGATTAGGAGCCATGATCATGCTTCATGCTCTAGCTCCATTCTAGATGAATTTTTAAGTGGTTATTTGAGATATTTAAACTATTTCATATTAACAATAGACATAGATATTTTCATCATATATAATCTAAAAAAGATGCCAAAATTTCAATGTGTAATTTTGACATTATTCTCAGTCATATCAATCTATAATTGGGCTGCAATTTTGAAATTGTAGGAATATACATTCCCACTATTGGCCATTATTGTCCTTTGGTAATCTGAAGAATGGAGTGAGATAGTTGAAAATCAAGACCAGGTATGGAAAGCTTAGGGGTTGGAGGCCTAATTAACCATATACAATCTTTAAATTTGGATCAGAAGTCACAGATTTTTTTAAAATTAAAAGATTATTAAAAATTGCAGGCTAGCATTGTGATGATGAATAAATAATTATTCATTAACATATGATAACATCCTCTACATAACAGATTTAAATGTTGTGTTATAACTCTAGATATAGATGTCTGACATATATCATAATCTTTCAGATTGACATATTTCTTAATGGCAGAGTGCTGATTGAGAAAACATGCATATGATACAAAATAAAACATTTTTATTATCATATTTGATTTTGTGAGCATTAAATCAGCACAATTTAATCTGTATTTTTTATACAATAGTTAAGTAGGCCTATTACATCAAAAAATATTCTATATGTATCCCAGTCTCATTTTTCCATTAAGTGTATGGGAAAAGTACAGTTTACTTTATAACAGGATTCTAGAAATCAGTTGAGTTATAATGCAAGGATCAAGTCTGAATAATTATAAAATTATTCAGAATTTATGAAATAGCATTGTTATAGCAACATACTGTATCTATATTATACTAATTCTGGTTTGTTATGAATATATTGTAAATGCTGTATGTTTATATAATATACATGTTAACGGCCAAACCCGATTTCAGGCCAAACTAGTTTATCCTACACATGTCAGGATATACTAGTTTAGCCTAGGACAATCTAGTTTAGCCTAAATACTTTAGGCCAAACTGATTTATGTATTACAAATAAGTGCCAGTGTTAAAAAAAATGATTTTTATTATATAATTGAGTATTCAGAATTGTATTTGATGGCGTTTGTGTGTTTTTATACGAACATTGAGACATCTTTTTGTTTCATCTACATAGGTCATAGGGTTATTACGGCTACAGTTAAACCTGTATATCACGTTGCTTTTTTTAAGGATATTAACCTTATTGTTTGGGTGATTTGGTTGGATGTATTTTTGGGTTTTATTACAAAGGTCAGGGACTAAATTGATGTTGGTATTGTTTAAGACCATTTTAATTTTTTCAAACATATTTTTGACATATATAAGTTTAAAGAACTTTTTAGTATCATTGTTGTTAACAGGAATAACGGTATGGGCATTGTTGTTGTTATTATTACACTTAAATTGTTTTAGCCATTTGCCTAGGAGTACTTTTGGGTAATTATTTAGTAAGAAGGTCTGAACAATGTCCATGATCTCAAGATTCTTTTTGTAATCGGAGGTAGTTCTATTGGATATCTTTTTGATGAAATTGGCAAAAATGTTTCTTTTTATGAACAGGGGAGTATGTGAGTGGTAGTCCATGACTTTATTAACGTTACAAGATTTTTTATAATATTCAATTTCAATTTAGTCCCTGACCTTTGTAATAAAACCCAAAAATACATCCAACCAAATCACCCAAACAATAAGGTTAATATCCTTAAAAAAAGCAACATGATATACAGGTTTAACTGTAGCCGTAATAACCCTATGACCTATGTAGGTGAAACAAAAAGATGTCTCAATGTTCGTATAAAAGAACACATAAACGCCATCAAATACAATTCTGAATACTCTGCAGTTGCCAAACACTGCAACCTATATGGTTGTGAAATTAATAAATGTACAATAAAAGCAATAAAATTTGAAACCAACACTTATAAACGTAAATATCTTGAGCTCATAGAGATTTTAAAAATTGATAATGTTAATAGAATTAATGATAACTTAGGTGTTAAAATTGACGAAGGATGGTATAATTATATCTTCTAAAAAACTAAATATCTTTGTGATGTAATGTCCACATGTACTGTTAAAACCGTTAGGAACTTGTAATTGTATCACATATTGTCACCACTTGTACAACAGATGTGGACTGACACACACCTCTCTCACTACCACTCTCAGCACCTTGTTGTAAGCTGGCACCTGCTACTCTGTTGTCTTACCTTTTTTTGGTATGTACATTACCTGCCTGTATAACTTTAGTCCATTAGTGTTAACTAATTATTGTCTAACTTATAACTGTTTTGTATCAGCATCCTATATGTCATCCCACCATGCAAGGTCATGAAGATTTATTACACCTGCCTACACTGATATTGCCTACTGCTCATACTGTTATATTGGCATCTTCACCTTTATATTGTATAGTTTTAGGCATAGTTTTTAAGTTTACCTTACTTTGTATAATTTTTAATATACCACCTACTTTAGATAATACCTACTGATGATGCTTACTTATATATTGTATAACTTTAGGCTTAGTTTTAAGTTGACCGTTACCTTGTATAATTCTATTATGTCATTACCTTTAATACCAACTGATGAGGGACTGTTTTCTATTAGGAAATAGTCTGAAATGCATTTTGGGTTTTTGTTTTCACACTTATATAGTAACTTTTTGAGTTTATTAAATTGTTTTCACTTTGATCTCTGAGCGTTTGTGCTCATCATTTGGTCTGATAAGCCCTCACTATTATCTGCCTCACGGTTGTGGATAATTTAATTTAATTGATATTATTATATCAAGGGCTAGAAGCAACTTTTGTAATAATTTAGTAAAAAAGGATATGTCAAGAATAAATCTCTGGTGATATGCCAGAAATATATTGTAAGTTGTTAGATAAGATTTGGTTAGATTTACCAAATTTTTTTACATATTTTCAAAGTGCAATACTCAAAACTTTCTAGAGAATAGGAAATTAAGAAATTAACACCTAAGCTTACAAAACAAAGCAGGAAACAAAGCTGGAGTCAGAAATTTTTTTTGAAGAATATATGACTCTTGCTCTGGCTCAAATCCTGGTTTATATTAAGAAATATTGCACTTGTTCTGTTTTATTCAAAAGTAATGTATCAGAATAATAATGATGGTCTTAATTTTTTATACTTTTATCCATATTAGTTTAAAAAGTCAAAAATTTAGTTTTTTTTTCTCCCTCCTTTTCTAGGTTTTTGCTCAAGTAGATACAATCAGATTTTGAATTTTTTTCCTGTATCAATAGAATAAAAAAGTTTTACTTTTTCCATCTACTAAAAGAAAAATAAGTTCTTTACATTAAGGGATGTTCAGAAATGAGAGTCAATTAAGAAATCAATGTATTAACATAGCTGCTTGATGCAAATCATGATAAAACTTGTAAGCCTGCTTGTCAGGCTATGCATGTACCTAGAGACAATGTCACTTTAGGTGGGAGAGGAGAGGTACAACATGCAGATTAAAAGAAATGAGGCTCTTACTCTATGTATATGCCATTACTATGAAAAAATTTTGGGAAAAAATTTAAAGAAGACTAGACAACGTTTTATGCTTGAAAATATTCAATGAACAACTATCAATTGGATGGATATTGGACAGGTTCAAGGAACATAGAACTGCAGAGTTTGAAAGTCTATTGGTTGGCCTGCAAATGTAGGAACTGCTAAAGTTATACAGGTAGTGGAATGCATATTCAAGCTGAGACATCATTGAGAATAGTGGCTGCAAAACATGGTCCTGCAGTAAGTAACCACCTACATGACTTAGAAATCCAATTCACTCATTGATAAAATATGGACTTTCTCCTTTTAAATTTACAGATTCAATTAAGGGAGCAAATGCATGCATTAGCATTACAGAACATTATGAGTGGTTGAAAAATATAAAAATAGCATTACATAATTTATGGAAATCCCTCTGTATGTCATATGCAAAGCAAGTTACATGAATCATTTTAGGATAGAGCATAAAGAGAGGTCTTTTTGCTTTCATTATATATGGCACAGTGTTTGAAACAATAAATCTTTATTTTATATAATTCTATCTTCCCACAACTTCATTCATTGAACAGCAGAACTATTGTAGTAATGTTAGTCTTACTCAGTTATGAGCAAACAGATACACATATCTAGGACCATCTTTTGTTAAAGCACTCACAATTACATTGGCAATAAATCACTCAATAACACCAATTATTTCATCTATTGTAACCCATATTTTCTTTTTCCTTAGAGTTTACAAAATCTTATGCAACATTACATCATAGACCCTTTGAACATAATTTTTCCTTTTTTTGTAAGTCGTCTTTACCAGACACTGTACTTCTCAAGAAATATTGTTATGTGGATTCAAAACTTTTTAAAATTAGAATTAACAACTAGATTCAAATAAAAATTAATATTAGCTAGTATGTGCTAGAAAAACAAGAATAATTTGTTTTTATACATCTGTATATATAGAATATTTGGGATGTTTAGTATACTTATATATTGAAAGCAAAATGTTCCATCCCCACTGAAACAAACCAGCACTTTACACAGCAGTGTGTAAGTAGGTCACACTGGATTGCAGGTGGGGTTTACAATTCATTTTTCAAAAGGACCACCTATTAACTTTATGAACTCTGCATGAAAGAGTTAACAAAGAGGAAGAAAGGTCTTTATTTAGGGATAGGAGACACAAAAAGACTTCACTTTTGACTCATGCTTGGAGTTTAAGAGAAAACATTCATTTGCTCCTGTAGCAACTATTTTTTAAGTTTGATTTTTGAATAATAACTTTTGGTTACATACAGAATACCAACAAGCTAGAATATACTACATAGAGTGGCTATAGCAATGCCATGTTTAAAGAAAATTGAGTATACATCTGCTGTTTTCCTTTTAGTTAAGGGGACTTGCCATTTGTGTTGTGTATAGGCACTGAGCTAGAATATTCTAACTCATAAATCATGGAAATTTCAACAGAAATATTATTTATTTGCTTTATAATGTACACTAACTGATCAAAACATTAGACACTGTGGTGATGGGAAGTGTATGCTGGCACCATGCAAGCAGAATTTTACATTCCCAAATTCAAACTTGGCATAAATAAGCAAGTATCTAACCTCCCCAACACTGTATCACAATTTACAAAAATGGGTAAATGTGGTGATCTCAACAACTTTGATCATGAACACATTGTTATCACAAGCCAGATCAATCATTCTGTCTTTGAAGTAACAACTCTAGGGTTCCCAAGGGTAATATCAAGGATCTGCTGAGCATATGTATCATTGACTGGGGCTGGCAGAGACTGTACAGGGTGGTACAAACTGACTGAAGAGCTACCATCCAATAGTCTCCAAGGTGGTTCCTAGATTAAGTCTAATTGAATCTCTCTGGGATGCTATTGAGAGATATCTTAGATCTATGAAGCTTGTACTAGTGTCTACAATAGAGATGCAAACAATAGTGCAACAGGCATGGCTTGCAATACCTCTGGCAATTCTCAGGCATCTGGTGGATTCAGGCTGTCATTTGTGCTGGAATAAGACCAGAATGCTATTATTAGATATTTCTAATGTTTTGATCAGTCAGTGTAGCAGAATGAAGTTAATAATCATGTCTATATGTATATCAAGACTAAATATTGATAGGTTTTATACAGAGTGGCTTTTAAGTTACCAGATTTAAATCAGAAATTTTTATTGTAAAAATGAACATAATAAGTCTACTAACAAGGAGACAACCAGATGTTTGCATCTTAAATTCGAACAAAACTTGGTGAGTATATAGCTCTAAACACAAACAGTATCTTGTCCAAATAAAAGGACCCAAATCTCAAGTGTTTCTGAAAAAGAGCACCTGAAAATTGACTATTTAGCTTATGTTCTTGGAAGTTTATTTCCTTTTCATAACAGTGATAGCTGAATGGATAAGAAGGTATACAGTGGAGCTAAATGATGTAGGTTCAAGCCTATGAAATTTCAGCTTTATTTTATTTTTTTTGTGTGTGTGTGTGTGTGTGTGTGTGTGTGCATAACAAAATTATCTTATTTTACTGTATCATTAGCATTATTTGTGCTATTATCACTCCTCATGTTTAAAGCTTGTCAAACAAGAGATTAAAAATCATGACAGCATTTCCTGTTTGGTGAAAATACAGTCTCTATAGATTTAACTCTTGTATGTCATTAAATACAATTTTTATTTCTTCATATTTATTTTCAGATATTTTCACTCATGCTTGCATACTATGTTAACACAAGCAAATAAGCTTCAGAGGTTACTGTGGGTGGCCAAAAAAGACAAATTTAATATGAAAATAGGGCAACATAGTCACATTATTTTTTTTTTAATTGTTAATGATATGAACAATTTTCTCATTCACTCTTATTTCTTACACTTCGAATATAACAATACCACCATATTTGAAAATAAATATGAAAAAATAAAAATTTTATTTAATGACATAGAAGAATTAAATCTACGGAGAATGCATTTTTGCGGGAAATGATGTCATGATTTTTTTATCTTTTGTTTTATAAGCTTTAAACATGAGGAATGATAATAGTAATAATAATACTAATGATACTGTAAGATAATAAATAATTGTATACTTGCTTACTGGAGAATAAATTCAATAAAAAATAAAAACCATTCAACTATCCAGTATAATTCTTTAATAACATAAAAAACGTTTTCAAATGCATTAAGCATTCATCATCAGTTATTTCTCTAATTTGAAAATGGGAAATTTGAAAAATTACGCAAGCGAACTTCAAATAAACGGTTATGCAAAAAATTAAAAGGTAACACGCTATAAATGAAAGTGATACATACAAATTTTCTGTGTGTTTAATAAATAATAATAAAGATAAATAAATAAATAAAATATCTATCAAGGATCATCCTAAGCCTGATTAAGGCTTTTATATAGATCTATGCCAATTCGTCGCAAAAAGATTTCCAAGCAGACGAAAGCCCATCAGCATCACTATAGTTGATACACTGCATGCTCTTCTGTGCCCTATGGATCTCCAGCTTTTCGAGATATTTTACCGCGTGTCTAGATCTGGTAGCTTTTATTATAGAGGCCTGGTCCCATAAGACAGTAATGCCTTGTTGTTTAGCATAAGGCATTACTGTCTTCTAAAATATCTTGAAAAGCTGGAGATCCATAGGGCACAGAAGAGCATGCAGTGTATCAACTATAGGGATGCCGACAGGCTTTCGTCTGCTTGGAAATCTTTTTGCGACGAATTGGCATAGATCTATATAAAAGCCTTAATCAGGCTTAGGATGATCCTTGATAGATATTTTATTTATTTTTATTATTATTTATTAAACACACAGAAATTTTTATGTATCACTTTCATTTATAACGTGTTACCTTTTAATTTTTTGCATAACCGTTTATTTGAAGTTCGCTTGCGTAATTTTTCGAATTTCCCATTTTCGAATTAGAGAAATAACTGATGATGAACACTTAATGCGTTTGAAAACGTTTTTGTGTTATTAAAGAATTATGCTGGATAGTTGAATGGTTTTTATTTTTATTAAGATAATAAAATAATTTTGTTACACAAAACAAAAAGGCTGAAATTCTGTAGGTTTGAACCTGCATTGTGTAGTTCCACTGAATACCTTCTTATCCACTTGGCCATTACTGTTATGAAGAGGAAGTGAAAACTCCAAGGACATAAGCTAAACAGTAACCTGTCAAAGGACTGTTTTTCAGAAATGCTTGAGAAGTGGGTCCTATTATTTGGACAAGGATCTGTTTGTGTTTAGGGCTACATGCTCACCAAGTTTTACTTGAATCAGAGATGCAAACATTTGGCTCTCTCCTTGTAAAACTTAAATTTTGTTTTTTGGGACTGTAACATAGAAATTGGCATATTATAAATGATGCTGGAAGTATCCACCTCCTCTTTAGAGAAAAAAGTTTACACAACAGTGCTGATATTTCTTCAATACATCTGATGATGATTCTTAAAAAGAATCATTATCTATCAAATGTATTGAATGTATCAAATATATCATCATCAAATAACCCCTAGATCACATGGGTGCTTTTTCAAGAAAAAAGTCAGAGGATGATAAATCAGATAAGCTAGTGGACCAGAAATTTTTAGAAATGAGTTGATTGTGAAAGAATTCTTGCCTTATAGTCATTCATAACTTACGTGCCATATGTGTAGTCACTAAATCTTGTTGAAAACAACATAATTGCTCATTTGGTTCAGAAAAACAACAAATTGTTGGATGATGTCTTCATGCATGCAAGTGATGACAGTATCATAAAAAAAGCTGTTATTCTTTGGTACTATATAATGCACCATATGCTCAGTTTTTATAAATGAAGAGATTTTTCATAAAGGATTTGCAGGTTTTCTGAGGACCAGTACTGATTTTTATGAGCATTAACATAGTCTGATAAATGAAACCAACTATCATTTGAGAAAATTGTAATTTTAAGAACAGCCAAATTGTTTCACATGAACTGTCAAAACCACTGGCTACCTGAGATATCAATAGTTCTCACAGGGAATGAATTCCTTAACTGGGATAAAACTTACAGCATAGAAGCTGGAAAGGTCAGGTTATATGTTGGTGTATACAACTTCACAATGCAAATAGAAAACAAGATGTAAATTTTTGATTGTTGAGTCTTAAAAATCATTCTGTTTAATGAAAATTATATTATATTTACATTGTTGAATATATAATTCAGTTTTAGATTTGTTGTTTATTTACAAAAATTATGAAATATTACAGGATTGGCATTGCAGTGATCAAGTCTTACAAGTCCAAGCATTGCGAAGACAGCAAATAGCACAACATGGAAAATCTGCATTAGCTCCACCACAACCTCCTCCACCTCATCCAGGTTATGCTCCAGATGCAGCTCTGTTAGCAATTCGTAGACATGCATTGCAACTTGTCAGCACTCCTGAAATAAAGGTGATTATTCATTTATGTCTTTTGATAGTTTTTTTTTTTTGAATGATATATTATTTTCTATATCAATTGTTTTCAAACTTTGTATTAAACATATCTATCCATTTGAAAAGTTTCTCGAGCTCTATTTTTTAATGAAAATAATCTAAATTAGTGTCATATTTTTAGGCAGATAATTTGTGGATTATCCATATAAAAGTCAGTTTGAAAGCAGGGACAAGTTAGTTACATGGGTAGGCTGAAAAGTAATGCACACATGCTTGTAGAACATGAACAAAAACAAATAGCACATTCAGGAAAAAGTACATTAAAGTACAATTCTTAAGCTTCAAAATCATATATTTATTTTTCAACGTAGTCGCCGTTAAGGCTAACACATTTCTCCCAACGTGTAACAAGTTTTTTCATTCTGTCACTGAAAAATTCTTCCGACTTTTCTCAAATCCAGGACTTGATAACTGCCTTCACCTCGTCATTTGAGATGTAATGATCACCTTTGAGGTCTCTCTTGAGTAGAGGAAAAAAATAAAAATCGCAAAGCGCAAGATCGGGGGAATAAGGAGGGTGTGGAATTAGTTCAAACTTCAGATTTCACAGAGCCTCTCCAGTTGTGCACGAGGTGTGTGGACGAGCGTTGTCATCTTGCAAGATTATTGGTGCCAGGCTGCCTCTAACATGACAAACTCAACGTCGGAGGTGTTTAAGAGTCTGTATGTACTGAGAAGAATTAAACATTGCAACGAGGGGCAACGGTAATTGTCCGTGGCAGTGATCAGACATCTGCTGCATGTTTCATCAACAATTATGGCCTTTCCAGGCTCACAACCATGAAATTTTATTATCCATCGATTTACAGTAGACCTATCAACAAGTTCAAGTTCTTTATTGCTGTACAAAGGTACAAGCCCGGTACCACATAAGCACAACCGGTAAAGACCTATCAACAACATCGTCATCATAAACAGCCTTTAAATGACGATGAATCTCAGTAGAAGCAATTTTTTCCGCAGTTAAAAATTCGATAACATCAAGCTGTTTAAGTCGCGTTGACATAGCACTAGAACACATCTCCGTATTTCCACTTCTCAAAATATACTGAATGAATGCAACAACCTCAAACTGCACATGCGCATAGAGGGGGAATGTTACTTCCATATGCCACCTGGCATGCTTCTGAAAATCATTTTGTTCATGCACACATACAAGCATGTGTGCATTACTTTTCAGCTTACCCTTGTATCTGATGATTTTACAACTTGCAGTTTATTATAGGGTACATACCAGAGATTCCCAAATTGGTTTATGATTTTATTAGGGGTCAATTACAAGATGTTCATTAAAAACGATTAATCCAAAAGATTATGTTTTTCTTTTGTTCAAAGTCACTGACAATGAGAGGGTCAGATGTTCAAGTCTGATTTGAACAAAAGTTTGTGGGTGTGTAGCCCTTAACACAAACAGCTCTTTGTCCCAATAGCAGGACCCACTTCGCAAGTGTTTCTGAAAAATGGGTCTGAAGATTAACTGTTTAGCTTATAAGGCTTTGAAAGTTTCATGTTTACTTGAAGCAGTGAAAGCTAAGTGGACAAGACACTAGGCAGTGGAGTGACACAATGTTTGAAACTTTGCAATTTTTGATTTTTTATATGTAATATAATTATTTTTATTATGTTTACTGTATCATTAGTATTATTATTACTGTTATTATTCTTCATGTTTAAAGCTTATAAAATATATTAAAGCAGATGCAAAAAGCTGGAACTTCAATTAAAAAACATACTTTGTCACTATGAGAGAATAAGCTTCGGGCATTACTGCACATGGACAAAACAAGACAAATCTTTTATGAAAATAGGATAGCTTAGCCATAGTATTTTTTATTATTATTAATGTTATGGACCATTTTCTCATGCAATCATATTTGTTACACCATATCTCCACTCCATACTACTCTGAAGAAATACGAAACTTCCAAAATCTTAAAAGTTAAACATTCAATTTTCATAAACTTTTTTTTGAAATGCTTGAAAAGTGGGTCCTATTATTTGGACAAGGACCTGTTTGTGTTAAGGGCTCACCAAGTTTTATTTGAATTGAAGACTCAAATGTTTGACCATCTTCTCATAAGAACATCTTCAAAAAAAGTGAAAAATGTTTTGTATGCTGTGGTGGTGCTATTTTTCAAAGGAACTGAGTCAAAATTTGGTCTCTTGAGAAGAAGAGTTGAGAGTGCACTTGTGACTGTCAGCAAATATCCCACTATCAATTACCTATATTCTTGTACACTTGTATTTAGATAATACATAGCAGAAGTATTGCCTGGTGCAATGTTTTTGTCTACAACATGTATATGATTATTTAAATTATAAAGTTGTAGAATGGTTTAAAATTAGTACAGAATGTTTTTGTCCAGTTAAAATACTCAAATGGAAAGTAGCATCAAAAAATAAATGAAGGAACTGTGGAAAGTTTTTCTGCATGACCTCACATGCTCAAAACTGCCAATTGGGTAAAGCTTAGTATCCACATGTGGAAATGAATGATGGAATCTGTAGATAGAAACTAAAAATTCAGACATAAGCTAAAAATTGTTGTTCTGTCTTCTTTCTACACTGCGTATACTTATGTGCAGAAATTGCAGTTCACTTGAAACAAGCACCATCTGTCAGCCAAAATATTAACAGCTACTGCAAATAGTCGAAAATAGCATGAATGTGCTTTGTTATATGAATTAAACTTCCTGAGTTTGCTGACAATCTTATCACAAATAAAAAAGCCACAAAAGTGAAGAATTGGGTAAGACAAATATTTCAAAATCGTTCCAAGTTAGGAATATCAAATACTTTGACACCAAATTACAATTATATCATTGTAAATATTTTATGCAGTAAGTACATTATTTAACTTTAATATTTAAATTGGATAGTAATATAGTGTATAAATGAAATAATGTATTAACATATTAGCATATATGTTTTAACCATGTTGACAGCCATAGTTTGAATGCTATCATCCCACTTGATGTTTATGATGTTATTGCTAAACAGCCTTCCTGTTGGTCTAATTTTCACTGTTCCGCTTTCTGTGGTAGCAAAAGAACAAATTTTCAACTTTGTACAGAATAGCAAAATGATGTCACTTTTGCTGTAGTTTCAACAGCAAAAGTGACATCATTTTGCTATTCTGTCAACAGTTTTCATCATCCATTTCCAAATGTGAGTACTAGGCTTAAAGGAAGCAGGTGATTTAGTGTTTTTAATGTAAAAAGCTATAGTTTTCAAAATATTACTCCTTCAGAAGAATAAACTTTGCTTGTCATGTGAACATAAGGCATATAGAGAAGCCTTATACAGTTTCCCCTCACCCATTTTTTGGCAAAAAACTTTTTTCTTCATATAGTGTTCCTATAAAAACATTACAGTAGAGCATCGATTATCCGACTCAATTGGGGACTCAGGTTGGTCGGATAACTGAAAAAATCGGATAATCGAAAAGAAGGGAAAAAATACATTGTTAGTATAGTATATTAGGATATTAGTATATCCCATGTAATTAGTTTATTAGTATATTGCTATTAACCAACTTCGCGTTTAATTTTCATCGATGTTTAGCCTAACAAATTTTTTTTTTTAAATAATAAACATCGCTATTGTATCATTAAAAATTATTTTTAAATTATTTTATTGCTCACAACACAACCACTCATAATTAGAAAATTAAGTCTTGTAAATACTGGCCTCCCTTCAATGGTCGAGCCGTTGATGCCAGCTAAAACACGCAAAAATTTAACAAAAATAATATTAAAGTAGCCAAGACATAGCCAAATATTGTAATGCCACATCACTAGCGGACATTTGAAATTTGCCAACTAGAACGGTCGGTTAACCGATGTGACGGTTAATCAGGTTGTATAAGCGATGCTCTACTGTATTTGAAAAAATTAATATGTCATCCAAACGTTAAAAAAACTTCAAAATTTGTATTAAGTTTTCATTTGAATGTAACTACTTTAAACTTGAATGTCCAACTGCTTCCTCTGAGTATTTTAATCAGACAAAAATGTTTTATACTAATTTTGATACAGTACAACTATGTAATTTAAACTGTGTAATTAAACTATGCTGCTGTCTTTCATAGGATCTGAGATAGGATTTGACCCAACAAAAAGAAGTCATAGTACATCATTGTATCATCAAATGGAATCAAGATAGCATCTTTACCACAAGCTTGATGGCTTTAACACACTATGCCATTAGTTTTTGTATCAGTTTGTTATTTGAAGAAAAAGAATGATTCCACCAAATAATATGTTTCTAATGATTTTTTAAAAGCATTCTTCTTTCTTTTTCAATAAACTTTACAAATATCCACAGATTCGCATATACACCATGTGGCAGCTACATAAAACTTCCACTGCTTATGACTTCTAATGGTGCACCTTTTGAAAAAAATGTTTTCAATAAAAGTTTGTTTTTAATGTATCATAGAATCATAATATGCAATAAGAAATGGAAGTCAATTTAAGAAAGTGAAGTTAACGACATTTTCTTTTCACCAATTATAAGTGGTGAAAATGATGAAACCAGTATCTTCATTTTGTGGCCCCCTTAAAGTCTAACATTTTTGTTTTAATGACTTTTTTTGTAGGATGCATATTTTTCAAATTATTTCAATGGATTTAATAAAACAGACAACTGCATATATGCACCATGTTGTGTGTATCATTTAACATTTTAATTAATGTTGAGAATATTTTTCCACTTGTGGAAAAATTGTAATGAAAAACAAACAGAAAACAGAATAGTTCTGTTTATATGTGGATTGCATTTTCTGAAAATGTAGAATGTTCCAGAAATTTGAATACACATAAGTTACTATTGGTGCTGTTGGAATGACATCAGAATTCCACATGGATAGCAAATTGTTTGCTGGTCATATATATATATACCAGGTTGTTCAATAAGTTTTGTCGTTCGATAAGAAAAACACGATTTTATGGTTTG